AAATCCATTTCATGCGAAGACGTGCCTCGCGACGCCATACAAGACGACGTTGGCAACACGTCACTGACTCAAGATACCGGTTTAAAGGGCAAACGAACCTCTTGTCGCTGTACAGTACGGACCTGGAACCCGATGCCGAACGTCGTGTGGTATTGAATTCTCAAAATTTATTTTTTCCTAAATTAAGTCAAATTGACCCAATCTAATGCAAAGCAACCCAATTTAGTATAACCTAACCTAACTTAATTAACCGAACCTAACCTAACCTAACCTAACTTAATTAACCGAATCTAACCAAGACTAACCCAACCTAACTCAGTGTAAAATAACCTAACGTAACTTGACCCACTCTAACTCTATCCAACTTAGACCAGTGTAACGTAACCTAACCTGATACCGCCCCATCCAACCCAACACAACACAACCAAACTTACCCAACCCAAATAAGCCATCTTAAGTGGCTTGTTATTGTTGATATCGTGTTGTCGTAACGAGTGGAATGCCGGTTTACTATTGAAAGGCGTTTGTCTATGTGATTCATGAATTTGTTTTCTGTCTCTAGATTGTAATTTTTTACATTTTAATAATAAGCCTTGCTAAGTGGACCAGAACGATGGACCCAACAAAGTTATAACGAGGTGAAATGAAACATGAAATCCAGTTCTGAGTTTCAACAATTCCCAGGTTACGCAATTAAAATGGATACGGTATTGCATATCTGCATAGCTTCCCCGTTATTCATCTTTCTTGCATAGCCAGTAAATGAAACACTTGGGGACCACCTCACACTAAGTATGGGGCTTACTCAACTAGGATGTTCAACAGAGCAAAATGTTGTTTCCACCTGGAGACAGAAATAGAACCAGCTTCCGAAACGTTGTGACTTTAAGTAAAAACACTTGGACGATACATAAAGTTTAACAGAGAAATTACAACTCATAGTTTGTTTCTCTTCAGTTATGCCCAGTTTTGTATGTTGCAAAAAGCGTAATGAAATGACCATGCACGATAGGATGTTTTGAAGTGTAAGAGAATGTAGCTGAAGTATAAATTTGAATGTATGCAGACTAGAGTAACCGAGGGAGGGTGATGGATCGGTGGGGTGAGGCATCATATGAGTTTCCATGGCAACTGAGATGCATGTCTGCCTGAGTTAATCTCGCTTGGACGGTCTCTCTGGCAGCATCACGTCCAAGACGATGTTCTTTTGCGCAGACTTGATGTTTGACGACGTGAAGTGTTCACCCCAAAATGTCAGATTTTACATGTTCTTAAAATAATACGTCCGCTAGAGTCAGTAAATCTGTATCAGTGTAAACAAGCAAAATCCTACCTAACGAGTCTAATTAAATATGTAAAATACATAACTAAATCAGTTTTTATTAAAGTAATACCATTTTAGCGGAAATCTCCGAACGTCGGGGTCAAATTGTCAGCTCTCCTGCTTCGTGTTCGGAGGTCTCTGATTCAAGTCTCGGCCCGAAGACCGACTTTTATGAATGATGTTATTCGTGGATTACCTCAGTTTATCCTGAAAAATCCCATGATTGTGGCCTACCTTAAATCAGGCCGCGATTGTTTCCGTCAATATCCTTTAAAACTTATTATTCATTAATTATTCTTTCATCCGACGCTACTGACTTGTGTAGAGCCAACTCCCGAAACGTCATATAGAATTTCCATACGGGACTGGGATGAATTTGAGGTTGGCCTTGATGAATTCCTTGATTTGTTTGTGCTATGCCCGTAACTGACTGGCAGCTTATTCTGTTATAGGCCTAAGTTGTATTTTGTTTGTTCCTTCGAGTCATGACCGGAAATAAAGTTTGTGATGGGATTTACTGAGGTGGTACTTGAGATATGCCGATGATGCCTGTACTCGCTGTGCTAACCTCACAGATCAATATTAGAGATGATATAAATGTTACATGTGAAGCAGAGTGAGGATGAAGGAATTTGCCAAATGGAGATGGGAGGGAAAGGATAAAGAAACATAGATGGATGGGATGGAATAGAAGCAGGCAAGTATGAAATGAGACAACTATCTTAGTTGACTTCTTTACTGAATCAGTTCTTTCACTTTCACGAAGATTTACACTATCGACTTGAATATGACAGATAATCGTAGGATATGGAAGTTGTTCCAGTGTCATTTATGATACGAATAAAAGTTGTGGCGAAATTCCTCTTTTTTTATTTTGTATTCCATGGTTACCAAGCGCCATGAATATCACGTTATGTGTATATTTGCTAACGTGTTCATTGTCAGTACTGATAGTTTTTTGGACTTAAAGATCGTCCTGTATTCTACAGGCAGAATACTACGTTTCGGAAGCTGGATCTGCTCCCGTCGTCAAACGTGGTTTTATTGATGATCTTTGACTTTCATTTCTTCTGTGACATCTTTATTGCCGTTTTGACCTGTTATTCTGTATCGTATGACCGTTCTTAGGAAATGCATTTCTGCATTCTTGTTCTTTTCATTTGTTCTTTGATACAGTCCAACATTCGAATCCATATAAACACGTAGATCTGGCCATTTCTCCTCAGAAGTTTGGTACCTTAAAACCTTTTTCTGGAATGTCCTTACTTACAGTTGTTTTCTATTTTTATTTTTAAATAAATACTACGATATATGAAGCACCTTATTACGCAGTTGTCCTAATTCTTCTGTTAGTCCAACTTCCTCTGTGTTACATATAGATATCCTCCACATTACGATGCTCCAAGCCCCCTCAGTGTCTCTTGTTTCGGCAACGGGCTTATGCCTAATAAGTGCCACATTGGTTAATGTAATTGTTTAGTTTGTTAGGAATTGCCCAAAATATCATTTCGTTGTCTTTGAAGACAAATTTAAAATTGAATACAGTGATTCCATTTAATTCTCGTCTAAAGGCGGCAATGAGTTGCAGTTTATCAGAACTAATGTTCATATATATAAAGTTTCCATTTTATCGTGGGAGCTGAAAAGCTCTTTACATTTTGTTATGGGCAACAAAATTAAATATTTTCTCGGTTAACCAGTCTTGGTAAAATAACATTAAAGCATATACAAAGATAGGTAAGGTCTGATAAGAGCCTGTAGACATTGGTGTCAAACACGTCAATTCACATGAAATGTATTGCAGATAAAATGAAACAAGAATAGTTGTTCCGTTAAGATACATCACGCACGTGATCCTTGAAGTCGCCTTAAGACATTTATGTAACGCTCGCAGCATTAGGCATATTTTAGAGTGGCGTCTTATATTTAGGTACGTGTTAGTTTAATCTAGAAACACCACGAACATATTTCGAAATGTTGTTCTTCTATGTGAATCATTTTGAAATGTTTTTAAAAAATTGCGGTAAATTTCAATAATGTGTCCTCTTTCATGAACCGACGGCCCGCGATTCGATAAGATATGGCGAGGCTCAGATTCACCAGACGTTGAGAATCCCCGTAGCACCCCAATGGTTATTCTGAATAATACTTATTAATTAGGATAAAATAAAATAATTCGTCCGCGACAGCTGAAATCTCAGTGGCAAAATTTAAAGAAAAGAAAGCAGACAAATAAGGGAACGAAGAATCGTCGAGAGTGGCCTCGTAGGTGACCCCTGACTGGCTTGTGTGTTTGTTTAATTGGTGGTTTGTTTGTGTAGTAATCTGTGATTAGAAGTAAATGTTTTCGGGGAATGAGTAAACTCATTAGCCTGAGTTTCAATGAAAAATACATATTATTTGTTATAGTTTTAGTTGTTAATTTTTAGCAGTGTACCCATAAATCCGCCGTATTCTAAATTCTGAATTATTTTATGCTGAAATGAGCGGTACGCAGTATCACCACTATGGATAAGACAGGCGAGATATGTAGCACGCATAGGAAAGATGAGAAGAATGTACAGAATTGTAGTCGGGAAATCGTAAGTGACTTAGGAATAGATGGGAGGCTAATGTAAAAACTGATTGTAAAGAAAATTGGCGTGAGCGGATGGATTAGATAGACCTTCCAGCTCAGAATAGGGCCAATGGTGAGCGCTTGTGAACTCTTTAATAAACCCAAATGCCTCCATAAAAGGCGGGAGATCTCCGCAACTATCTAAGCGAATGTTACTTTCACCTAAACGACTCTGATCTATGGAATTAACGAGTGTGAGTTCTGGAATTGTTGCATCCAGTAATTTGTCGTTCCCATTTAAACCTGTATGAAGATACTGTACGAAAATTCCAGAAAGTAGACTGGGTTCCGTTTCTGTATGAGACATAAGTCTGTCTTGAGCGTCATTTTGAAACCTATACCTACTGATAAAGCACAAGATAATCATCCAATAAAAGAATGAATAAAAAGAAGTCGTATCATGAAAGATTATAAATTTTCTTCAATGAAACCTTTCAGATTGCTTTCCTGAAAGTAGCAAATGGTTTCGTTGTTTGAAGTCATATTATCGACACATCCTGTACTGCAGTTTGTTATAATGGGAACACACCCAACCCGTACTTAGAAGGATTTATAGTGCTGCGTTATTCAAGTGAATACCGCCCATTGTCTGTTTCTCAGTCGTCCACAGGCGTAACAATCACAAATAAAGCAACATTCGGCCATCAATCGAATCCATTAGACCTTGATAAGCTTAAATTATGAAAGGAAAGGTGTTCTACTGCTCTGTATGTTGGAGCCTACATCGTCATTTCTACGCACATAAAGAAAGTATTATTATGTGTACAGCCTCACCCAATCACATCAAATGTAAGCCTCCCATTCATTCCAAAGTAGAGTCTACATTGCGAGTATATGATTTAGAAATGTATTTGTTGTTGATTGATGGCGTCTAATCAAGCAGAGTGTGGCTCCAGCTCATATGTTATTGTGTTAGCATTGGGACGCGCAGACTTGATGCTCATCTATTATTCACGTAGCGCATCTGCTGTGTTCAGGTGTTTATCCACACAATATGTGATGGTAATGTTTCACGGTTCAA